CTTTTCGGAAGGCGCCTAATTACCTTTCATCCCGTTGGTCGGCGAGTGCGTGCAAAGCCAACCCCTGCACTGGCATCTGTCCCACCGCCACCACGGCAACCACAGCCGAAACCCACACCTGGTGCCCATCGAAACAGGCGCATACGCAACTTCCCATGTATACGCTTGATTGTGTGCATAACTGACCACTGTTTTTGTTTGCACATCTCACGAAATCGTGTGTGTGTATAGTAGAGCCACGACAACCCACCTGCCAAAGCAAGATGAACTTGCCTCTCCTCAGATCCCCCCCCCCTCTGTGCCCCTCTCCGTGCTTTGGATCCCTCCACTTGGTTTGTCCCTTTCGCCATGGTGCCTCCCGTCTTATCTGCGACAGGACTACGGAGCACCCCAGGACCGTCGCGACCACCACCGGCGTATGACCCGCCCAAGGGTCGTAAAACACTGGACGCTCAGCCGCCTTATTGGCGACGACATGTGCCCCAGCTGAACGAACACGCTCCCCCGACAGGACGTACACACACCCGCTTGTCCTGAAAAGGGGTTTCCAGGGGAGGGAAAATCACCGACTGACTCTCTGGCGCCGCGGTCACGGAACCCGTGGGGGCGGACGGGGAGGCGCGAGGAGAGGAAGAGAGATGGCTCACGCCTTAAAAAGGTCGGGTGATTTGGACGTCCACAAGACAAATTTATGCAGTCAATATGCCGCAACGTGGGGAAAGAACAAAACCGGCAAGTGAATCCATCTTAGACCACCGGACCTGGCAAACTGTAACTCTCACAGCTCACCGAGAGAGTGCGTATATGTAAAACAGAGTTCAAGCTAATCGCACTCGCAGAGTATTACAAACAATTACAAAGAAGACTGAAATAGTTATTTTTGACTTAGGTACAATCGCAGCTCTCCATGTAGAAACCCAGGACTAGGAGAATCTTACGTTAAACCCCGTGGTCGGAAAACGACGCCGTCAACAGACCACCGGTATTTCCGGCGGATTTTCGACGAGGGAGATGAACCCATGGTTAAGTCGGTAAGGCGTTGGGCCCAGGGACCAGCTGACTAACGTGGCATACTATGAATTTAGGATTGAGGCTTTTTGAATCCATTCCTATACAGCTTACTCAACTGACACTCGACCCACACCTGAGCTCCAAGTGGTTGTTTGCACTTGATATCAGTAAAGTTCTAACATAAATCTCTACCGGCTGGCTAAATTATAAGCCAATTTTCGGCTATCCTCTCTTTTCCCCCCACCCCTCCCACCCCAGCTCCACCGTCCTCAACAGGCTGACTCCAATATGCGGGCGGCGTGGGAACGTGGCGTCTGATTAACCCTGTCCCTGAGACGCATTTATATCCTGTCTATAATTAGAATGATCATCACCCATGGAAATGTATCGGTCTGATGATGAGTTACCGAAAACATGTGTTTGCCAACTGACTTTTCACTTGTAATATGGAAATTTTCGCAGAAATTCGGCTACTCTTAATGACCTACAAGAAAAAGCAATTTCAACAGACAGCACATGTTCAGTCCTGATGGATGGGATGGGTCGTCCTTAATCTCAAAGGACAAGAACGTTAGATCTGCAGAACTTGAGTAGAACAGAAGGAATGACAATGCAGAGTGCGTCTTGGTCACCCAGTGAAAACATAAAAGTCTCCGCTCGTGAGGTTAACAGTACTTGGGCTTCCCAGATCTAGAGGCTAGAATGGTCTCCAGTAACCTCGCGCAAGGTTTTATTCGTGCGGCTCACTAGTCAAGACCAGTTTGAAATAGTGTGAATAGGCGAGTCGAGGAAAAGAGTTAAGGTTATGATTATGAACCTGACCCTAAACTGTCTTTGAACTTTGGTCTTGAGCCAAAAAGTGGGTTCAGCGCATCCCAGGTGACTAAGTAGTTACTCTTAACGCAAAAATCGTTCGATTATGGAAAAATATAAATACCGTTTAAAGTGTTCATTGTCCGAAACCAAATTAGGAGATCAGTGTAACCGATGGCATCTCATTATCGCTATTTAAAAACTATAATAAAGATAAGTTTTGAAAAACGGAAAGGCTGGAGCCGCGTAAGACCATTTTGTCAGCAGCCAGCCAGAGAATGAAATCTCGCTCAGAGAGTTCAACTTGATGTCCTGGGCGGGAATAGCTTCCTGCAGAGGCAACCGCATCCGACTCAAAGATGTCTGCAACTTCGTCTGCAAAGTCGACCCAGAGGACTAACCGACGGCTGCGCACATAGTAACTGCTATCTTAGCCACCCGACTACGAAATTTGGCAAGCACCAAATAGTCAGATGTCGCTCTCCCTCTATCTACCCTGACCACATACCATACGCCGGTGTTTACGTCTTTTATCCGATATTTAATCCTTCTTACGAGTCCCTTGACTATATCATGAATGCAGCACTTTCAGCTTGAAAGTTCTTCCTGATTAATGGATTTACTGAGAGTGTCTGAAACTGGTTCAGCACCCGGGAGGGATATAGGAGTGCAACGGAGCTGAAAACGGTAGTTAAGGCCAAGTTACACAAATACCCAGCACTGTCTTTGCCCCCCCCCCCCGTCCGCACGAATACAAAACAAGACTAGTTGACATTCTCTCAAACTAATAATGGTCAACGCCAGGCCCTGTGCCGATGTAGAAGTCGTCCTAACACATGATTTCATTAGGGAATCCTGTGGTAGAGTACAATGTAAACTTTCCTATAGACAAACAAGTCTTCATTACCCCGTTACAAGATAACGCCCATTAGGCCTCCGATTTTCATGCATACTGCCCTTACCAATAAATAAACCGCTCGACGTCCCCTACTTCTCGTGTGGGATGTAGGGCTGTCCAGCGGTGGGTTCACGCGACGGTCGTAGTACGTCGCTCACTTGCTTGCAAGTGCGGACTAAGCCTAGCGCCCATTTGCTGGCACCCAACTCTCACATGTGGCTCCCCGAAGCTAGGCTCTGTCTAGCGGCCACACCCCGGTAAACGCCTCGACCGGCGGGCCGAACCAAATGAGGGCATCCCTATGTGCATCTGCGTGCACGGTAATGTGGACTCCGCTGGCCAGATGGATCGCCGCATCGGCATCGTCGCGACGAGGCTCCGTCTGGAACAACGCAGAAGGCAACAAGGTAATAGAGCCCCCAGGTAAGCGAACGTTGTTCTGCCTCTCTTGCTCTACTTGTTCTTGTTGCCTGCTCTCTGTATGTTTGTCCGTATTTGTCCTTGTTGGAAGCTAATTGCCACTCTGTTGGATTGCCTGTGTTGCCTTTGCTTCTTGTTGTCTTTGCCTGCCTGCCTTTGTCCGCTTGTTTGTGTCCGTCTTACTGTAGGTTAAATGTCGTTCTGTTGAATATGCCTGCTCCCCACTCCTACTTCACCTTCCAGTAAACATAGAGAACCAACCAGAAGGCGATGCTTCTCGTCTCTCTACCCTCGCTTACGCGTCGTCGTAGGCTGTCCCAGGATAACTCGGGTCGTTCTTCCACTACACAGATATGTGGCCCATAGTGGGGCTCGGCAGCCGCCTGGGACAACTAAGCAGCCGTATTTAGCACTGTTCACCCCCGCGAGGAGGAAGGGGCTAGAAAAGTTGCCGTAAGCAAATGCTGGGGAACCACGCCATCCGCGGGCTGACCGCGGCCGCAGACGCCAAACTCAGGGTCGAAACAACTAAAACCGAAACAGCACTCTCTTTCTCCTCCTCCTCCTTCCCCTCCTCCTCCTCTTCCTCCTCCTTCCTCTCCTCCTCCTCCTCCCCCCCGCCGACCCACTCTTCAGATTGGTAGGGTGAGTCCGCTCACTCTGACAGCCTGGAATGTTCGGTCTCTTTTAAACAACCCGAAGAGCAACCGACTGGGACGGAGGTGGGCACTAGTGGCTCTGGGACTAGCACGCTACAAGGTGGACATCGCAGCACTCAGCGAGACCCGCCTCTCCGAACAAGGCCAACTGGGGGAGATGGGTGCCGGCTACACCTTCTTCTGGAGCAGTCGTCCAAAGACAGAGTGACGGGACGCGGGTGTCGCCTTCGCCATCCGGAACGACATCGTGGGACGACTGCCCTGTCTGCCACAGGGCATCAACGGTCGCCTAATGAGCCTCCGTCTGCCTCTTCGGGCAGGCAAATTCGCCACTATCATCAACGCCTACGCTCCCCGATGACCAGCCCCGACGTCGAAAGAGACAAATTCTACGAGAACCTGCACGCACTCCTGGCGACTGTGTCGAAGGTGGATAAGTTGGCAGAATAGTATTACCGACAAAGACAAGGGAGACTGGAATGGCCATTTCTGGCTTATTAGCCGTCGTCAGCCAGCTATACCCAAGCCCGAAGTGTGGAACACCCGAGCCTCGAACTCGCGACCTGTTGGTTTAGAAGTCAACGCCTCTACTCACCGGGCCACGAGCCCGTTGCCTTGTCGGTTTTCGATCGGGTGGATAAGTTGATTGTCCTTGGTGACTTCAACGTCCGCGTCGGCACGGACCATGCTGTCTGGAGAGGAATGCTGGGTTCCCATGGTCTCGACGGTTCCAATGACAACGGCCTGCTCCTTCTACGAACCTACGCAGGACACCGACTCATCCTGACCAACACCTACTTCCGCCTCCCGATGCGAGAGAAGGCCACCTGGATGCATCCTCGGTCGCGTCAGTGGCACCTGCTGGACTATGTCCACGTCCGGAGACGAGACCAGCGGGACGTGTTGGTGACGAAGGCGATACCTGGTGTCGACGAGTGGACCGATCATCGCCTCGTCATCTCGCAGATGCGGATTCGCCTACAGCTTCGCAGAAGACCTCACGGAAAACTATCCCCAGGTAAGCTGAATATTGCCTTGTTGTCTTTGCCGCACACCATATCCATTTCAGCAACGAACCAGCTCGACGGCTAGACAACCTTCCAGTCGCTGATGCCGCCGCCGCCGCTGAGGAGAACGCCCCCATGGAGAACCGATGGTGTCAACTGCGGAACACAGTCCATTTGACGGCCCTGGCCGTCCTTGGTCGCGCGCGCCGCCAACACCAGGACTTGTTCGATGACAACAAAGCCGCCATGAGCAACCTGCTCGCCAAAAAGAACCGCCTGCACAAAGCCTACGTCGTCCGCCCAAACGACGCCAACAGAGCTGCCTTCTACCGTTGTCGTCGCCTCGTTCAACAGCGACTACGTGAGATGGGGGACGCCTGGACTGCTCGCAAGGCTGTGGAGGTCCAGAGGTACGCGGACCGCAACGAATGGAAGAACTTCCTCTCCGCGATCAAAGCAGCCTACGGTCCGCCTACTAAAGCAACTGCACCTGTTCTCAGCGCCGACGGCAGTACCCTCCTCACTGAGAAGACAAGGAGACCAAATCCGTCGCCACAAGGACACTCTGAAGACTTCCCAGAAGCGTCTGTAGATCAATCTGGCCAACTAGGAAGACCTCGCTAGAGACCAACCGACCTGTAGCAAAGCAGTGAAGACAGGCGGAGCGACCTACGAGACAAGTCGCATCGCCGTCGCGAAAGCCAAACGAGAAGTACGCAAATCTAAACTGTCGCCGCCTCGCAACGCCAACATCCAACTCTCCCCAACGTGTCAACGGTGTCAGCGGACATTCCGGGCGCCAATTAGACCTGTTGGACACCTTCGGACCAACTGTGGCACTCGGACTACACCAACCGTCGTCTCTCCTTCCACCTCTCCCTCGACTCCTATGCCGTCAGCTAACGTTGGCCGTCCTCCCGAACCACCACTTCCATTCTCCTCCTCCCCCACCGCCTCAAAGTCTACCGCCGTGGCGTCCGTCACGCACACCAACAGTACACACAAACCTGACACACCAACAAAAACCAACACCACCACCGTCAACGCCAGTGGTGAGTACCTGGTCTATACCTGCCCTCACTGCGACCGCACCTTCACCTCACACATCGGCCTGGTCGGTCACTTTCGAGTCCATCACACAGAGACTTGCGGACCAGTGCCTGGAGCACCAGCCTACACCCGCCACATTCTTCACCACTGTCCACACAGCCCTCGCACATTCATACACCTTATGGGCCTATTCGGCCACATGCGTATCCATGAGAGCGAAAATGACCGCAGCCCTGACACACCCAGCACACCCACCATGCATTGCCCCGCCCACGCTCCGCGGACCGGTGCGCCCACCGCTACCAGCTGCACCACACTCAATACATCCTGCACACCCAACATGCTCAGCCCAACCTACACACCTTCTCGCAGCGCGCCCACCACCACCGAAGCTAATACTGATCTCGCGGACTCCTCGTGTCCACAATGTCTGGACGAAGACGGTACGTCGAGCACCGTAAGTCGGAAGGCAGCCGACTGAGGCCCAACCCAGTCCACGCAGTCTACCCAGTTGTGTGTGTGTGTTGTGTAGTAGCGGACTGGTGGGCTGAGCGCCCGCCTGAATCGGCTCCTTCTCCAGCGATCTGTGACACTCTCATGCATTTGAGGAGAGTATGTGTACTCTATGCGCATTGCCCCTCAGTCGAAGACTGTTTGGTTACGTAACTTTGAAGGGTGACGGCCCAGGCTATATGCGGGACCACGTGTTGCCCTTCTAGGTCAAAAGGTTTATAAGCGTGTGCCATGCCAGTATCAGCAAACAATCGCCCTCGCATCCTGGTATGCGCCCTGGTTCCCTGCCGGTAGATGTGTTTGCGCTCCCGCCAGGTACACAGGTACTGGGCATGGCTGCCCAGTAATTTTCGTCACTCTGGCCCCTGTTGGAGTGTTGTTGTTGTTGGCGAAAAATCCTAGTAATTTGCTCTGTGGACCAGGGGGTGTTGCGGCACACCTAGGTGCGGCACCTACGCCCTCCCCCACATTTGGTGTTCTTGACTCTGCCTCGAAACCGGGTCCAGTTGGGGAGTGGGGAGGAGGGTGTGCGGTAGATGCTTTGCAAGTCTACCATCATTATAAACTAACTCACGCACAAGTTCATATCACAAAATTTGCTCCTACCGGAAATGGAACTAAGTCTCTAACAAATGTTCGTTCTTCCTGTCCTCGAGTACTGCTGTCCTTTTTTCGGTTTAATGGACGCCTGTGAGCGTAACTAAATCGAAAATGTTTAGAGAGTTTTCATCCGGAAACTCTCCTCTCAAGTCGCATGCGGTATTTCTTATACTCAGAGATTTCGGCTGGCGAACATTAAGTTTTTGTGGATTAGAAGACCCGGGTGGCCTTTTCTTCCTTTTCGCATTAACTCTAGCCCCAGTCTCCCGCGCACTGAAAATCTCACTCCAAGAGATCGGTTTCATGCAACGCACAACTCCTCCATGGTGATTCCGCCGCCTCTGCTCCCGTCTCCTAACCTTAACCCAACCCCCCCTCCCCTGTAACTTAGTGCAAAGCCATCTACAATACGGGGGATATCTAGTCCAGTGTTCTGCCAAAAACGGCCATATGCTGTTGAAGTTGTTTGGAATCTCGGAGACTTGTTCATATATCGAAAAATAAGCTCCAAAGCGGACTTTGAACAAACTCATTGTTCTTATTTTCAGGGAGCAGCTGTGGTGCACGTTGCTAATGGCTTCTAATCACTTCCGGAAGACTAAACTGAAGAACTTGATTCAATCTTCAGTTTAGAAGACTTAGTGGTTATAGGGTGCTGTTTCCATAGATAAACAAAAAATGGTAAAAGGGTTGGTTGCTGATGTACATATTCTCTGCCCTCCATGTACTGATTTGTGTCTCTTTACAAAGTTCAAGGGTGCATTATGTTCCAGAACGCGCAAGGTTACCGAAAGCTAAAATCTTGTTTATATATATTTACATACTTTCAAATGAAAGCATCAACTAAAGTGATGTTTAGATACAGCTCGGCGTGGAACATAACCCTGCATATTAGAATGAAAGCTCTTGACTGCACTACTTTCCCGCCATCTGTGTAAGTTAATTCTGTGGAGAAAAGATTGCAAACCCGGGATCTCTTGGGATGGTAGCATTATTATTAATGTAGCCTAACATCTCCCGGTTTTGTAATGTTCATCCTAAGGTGATGTCTGCAGTTTGGACTTTCCACAAACCCTATGGGACCTCTTCACAGTCATACGCAGAACGAGGTTGATTCGCTCTGAAGCTAGTCCATGAAATGCAATTTGAAAAGGGTAAGAATAAGGGAAAACGCGGGCAGTGTTTAAAGGTATGCGTCGATTAGTATGCGTTTTTCTGAGCCAAAAATAATCGTTTCCATTAAACTTTAAATTTGAAGAAGACGTACGTTCTCATAAAGTGTGCGTAGCATGCTACAAAGTGTGATATAAGTTATGTGGGTAGTTATAGTGGGTGAGAAAAATGTATTGCTTTCGCGAGGATCTTTTCAAATGGAACAACCAAAATCCGTCTAGGTAACACGTGCAGACTTAGCCAGGATTCTCATCCATGCCTATAAATATTGCAGCCGTGTTTCTACGTCGACAATTTTCCGTTAGAGTTTCATTATATTCGAATCACATTGCGTAGCCGAATGGAGACAGCGTTTCTTCTTTATGCGTGCCTTGCTCGACCATCGTTGTATCCCTGGGATGAGGTTGGATGAGTGCATAAATGTACTGCCACCTGTGTGGAGCGCATCAAGAAAAATAACCCCTTAGGCAGTATATGATTTATATTAATTTCCACCGCTTGCTTTGACGAATTTATTTCATCCAGAAAGGACATGTATACACTAGTTGTGCATCCGTTTGGGGAAAATTTCTTACTAATCAAATTTTGCATACAAAGGAAGGCTGTACAGCAGTTTTGCAAAATTGGCCGATTTATGCATACTTTTAGGCCCAAAGTGTAAGTTCATTTGGACATATGATTTGTACATTAAACGCCACGCCTTTCCTGCATAGCAAGTTCATTTGTATTTTCATGTCCCTGTGAGGAGGTTTATTGGGGCTTTTGAAATACAAAATTAGGTGCGGAGTACCCTGTTTACCTTAAACACGGAGTTCTTACACTATCGGACAACTGACTGCGCGCTAACGTCTCAAAACTTAATATAATCAAAAAACCTTTAGAACCGAACACACATTTCCTTCATGTACAAATATAAAGATGACACTCCCTATCAAATAAGTACAAAAATGTGTCTTCTACGCACCCTTCCAAGCGCACATCATTGCCGTCTGGGATAACTATACATTAAGGGGATAGTGATTTTTCCTGATGACCAAAACAATATGCAATTAACAGTTCGCATGATGCCGTGTGGTTCATTTCCCCTGCCAAACAGTTTTTAAATTTCGCTTAAGTTCTCTTTTCTACTTAAAAGCACGTTTGCCGAAATGTGGTCAAGTTTCATGAGTTTTGGCGCACACGCCTTGTCCTGCCTTCTCAAACGGGCGTTATATTTCACAACCTTTTTTGTTGAAATTGAGCCCATCCTCAAAACACTTCCTTTCGGAGGGAAGACTACTCGTTTAGACACCTAAACACGTGCCCCCGTATTACAGGTAATCTTAAATTCCAGAGGAAGTTGGGGTTAGCCTTGATGTTAGCGTTGGGGTGAGGGGGTTAGGGTTAAAGCCAGTATTAAGACTGGGGTTGGGGTTGGAATTACTGTTAGAGTTAAGACACGGGAATAGGTATCTCATTATATTTATCAGGAGGCCACCTGTGATAGGGGAGATTCATATTCTCCTGTCCGACTGAATATTCAAGTCAATGATCTTCTACAACGGACCACGCGGGAATTGCGCTGGACTAATAAAGTGGAGCCCGGCACGCGTTGTTGGACAGCGCACCCATAACAAATGCAATACAGGGGTGACCACGCCTGTGCGCAGGCTCCCGCCGCGTTTTCCGTCCACTCTCAATCCCTCCTCTGGTCATTTACCCTCTGTCTTCACACCGGGTCCAGGAGAGTAAGGGGGGAGAGGGTGCGGTAGATGTTGTGCAAGTCAGTGAATGACCGATCTCATGAAATGTTGACCGAAATTCGGAAATGCCTCTTCGATTAGGAAGAATTACTTAGATCCCCTTACAATACTGATGATCAAGCGGCATAATGCTATAATGTTTCGGACTCCTTAGGATGTCAGCTTTTGAATGCATTTTTTTGACCTTCTAAAGAAGCCGTGCTTGGTAAGAAATGACTACTTAAGTAGCATACATTTTAACATTGATTTTTGATGGTCTTATATATCCAAAAATACTTCATAGGAAAAATACACAAAAATATGCTTCTTTTCGCTCGTTCGGTAGAAATTCACGTTATCTTTACATTTTATACCTGGAGAAAGAGCATATTTTGGTTTTAAAAAAGTTTTTCAATGCCCGAATAATGTTGAGCCTGGTCAGCCGTTGCATTAGCTTATAGCGATTTTAGTCTACAAGGTGCATGCTTTCGGCGTAAGGAGACTCATATATTCCTCTATGCCCGTAAAGAGATATCATGTAGAGTTCACAAAATGTTGCAGTGGATGAGGGCTATGTTTTGCATTTCATGAGAAGTATTGACGAATGGACATGTACGACGCTTTATGAATGGGCATTGCATGGTCTTAAAAATCTCATAAGTTGCAACTTTTCCAAAAGCTAAATATGCTCTTTCTCCAGGTATAAAATGTATAGATAACGTGATTCTCTACTGAACGAGCAAAAAAGCATATTTTATGCATGTTTCCTATAAAATATATTTGAATTTATAAGATCAACAAAAATAAGTGCTAAAAATGCATGATACTTAAGTGGTCATTTCTTACCAAGCACGATTTCTGTAGGTTTAAAAAATGCATTTTAAAGCCGACATCCTGGCGAGTCCGAAACATTATAGGATTATGCCGCTTGATAATCAATATTGTAAGGGTACCTAAGTAATTCTTCCCAATCAAAAAGGAATTTCCAAATTTTGGTCGACATTTCATGAGATCGGTCACTCACTGTAATTCACGCGCATGCCATTGCCCCTGCGTCAGTCATGTTGTGGACACGGCGGACTCCATCGGAAAGGGCAGTTGAACTGTCATCCAGACGAAATATTGTCTTGTGGAGTGTTCCCAGATTCTACTGCAAGCCTGACAATTACATGACAGCGGCGAATATCGATCTATCAGGATTCCGGGACGGAATATGGTCTTCAACCTCCGCAGATGTTAGCATTGGCAATTAGCAAGCAATGGACAGTAAATAAACCGCAAATGTCCATTCCAGTGTTACTATCGTTGTCATTCGCACTTCTCAAACTTGCCCCAACTAGATCATTTCTGCCGGCAATCCGTGAAAAAAAGGGAAGCTCACGCCGCAAGAGAACGTGTTTTGTTGGGCACAGTCTTAGCACCAAGCCCTACTTTCATTATTCCCCAAGAAAATTATTATTAGAGATGGTTTAAG